TACGTGAGTTGATAAGGAAACTCAATATTAACCGCATTGCTTGCCTAATTGCATAAATCAGTGCCCTTTTACCTCCTATTTGCGTTCTTAGAAGAAAGTTCCAAATATGTACCAATTTGTAAAGTCGTGGGACTTCTATTTTTTACACCTGTGAGATCATTTTCTGAAAGCTTAGGAAATTTTTTGTAATTTGAGGGCTGAAAATGAAGATTTTTAGGTACTTACTGGCTTACTGACTTAAATATAGTTTAACGCTCTTACATAAAAACGAAACTTCATATTGACACCCCCTATCTACGAAATACAAACAGTTATCTACAGATCATTACGGGTTTACCAACATTTACTTAATTTGACTCATAATTATCCAAGCAATTATCTAATTATCGAGTTATCGACATTATTTGTTAAGATGAATCATGAAAAGCAAATTCTTGAACAGTTATTGCACAATTACGACGGTTAGTTTTTTTGCTAACAATTTTTTTGTCTTTGTTACTTTCCTCGGTAATGAGGGAAGTTATTGTATTTACGTAAGAAATCGACCTTAGGATTTTTTTGCATGTATAAATTTCCAGGTCCCTGGATTACGAAAATCATGTTTTCTCAATTCCGTCCGTTTGTCTGTCTGTTGGCGCTCTAGCTCAATAACGGCTCAACCTAGAACAACGATTTTTGGTATACACCCCGGTATACACGTTTGGACACCTTCCGACAATGTTAATGTAAGGGCTTTCCGTCGCAGATATACAAGGTGACCCCAAAACCTATGCGTCACTTACAAAACCGGTAAATGACACAAAGTTAGTTAAATTAGCAAAAAGTTACCGATCTTGGAGTTTACTACAGATACGTTTTTGCTGTTGTCGATTTTTTATTCCTTTTCAAGATATTTTGTCGTATATTTTCAAAACTACTTATTTTAGAAGAATAGTTTGTATTTGAAAGTTCTGCAGGTTCATCTGCTCTACAAGATTGGGAACTGAAATTTTGATATTTATCAAAAAAAGGGTGGGATAATTTGCCTAGGGAAGTCATGGGTAAAGGCTAATTTTTATTCTTGTATTGGGATCTTTGCTAATACTCTTGGGCATTTTACAATAAACCTGAATCTACCTTTGAACACCTGTTATACTTTTTATGTTAAAAACGTTTGTACAAGAACAAAGCTTGAGACATGATATAAACTTTGCACTATACCTAGTAATTTTTCACCTCCAAGAATTTATGTGAGTAGGCATGAGTAGATCAACCGAGAGATCAACTTACATGACTAATGTGAACGCCGCTCTCAACCCCAGGTGATGATGAGTATTGTTTAAAAAATTTGTAAAAGCCTTTACCCATGACAAAGGTTACCCTATGACTTGAAACATGATTTTTGTAATCTAGGTACTTAAGTAAGTACCTGAAAACGTAGAAAAGTTAAAAAATCTCGAGGTCGATTTTTTACGTGAATACAATACTTCCCTTACTCCCGAGGGAAGTAGAAATAACACTCAATTAATATAAATGAGTCATAATAATGTTTAAGCTTTACCCAGATGTTGAGAGGATTTTAGACGTTGTATTCTTGATTTAGTTTATTTCATGTCTGTCTCTGGTAGGTATCTAATCCATGACTGACGTTACTAGCAACAAAATGAGGATGCGGCTATCTTCAGATTAAATCAAAACGTCATGCGCCTACGTAAGAAATAATTACGTGGGAAATTTATTGTTTTGGTTTACTCATTATCATCAATCTTGAACCAATCTGAATGAACATTTCTTGCAGCTCATTAAAAGGGAAATGTTATTTTTACTGATCATAAGCTTCCTGCAGTCGTGGGTTGTACTCTCGGTTGTACTTGTTATCGTTCAAGGAAATTATATTGTTATTAGTTATGGTTCCAAAAAACAGCCACTAAAGAAACTAGTCAATGATGCAAAGTGAAATTTAAGTCCGCGTCCTAGGTACGAAGTTTTTCACTTCAGATCCCATATTTTTAAGAGAGGTTGATTTCGTCGATACTTGATGGAAACCATTACAAGTTTTAAAAGGAAACAAAAAAATTTCTATAGAAATCTAGAAGAAACTTTTTTGTTTCCTTTCAAAACTCTTATATTTTTGTAGTTTTTATTGACGCTTACTTGAATTTCCCAGAGTGCTTTCCATATCTATAATAGTTATGTAATAACCATCTGAATTTCCAAAGTTGCCATAGCTACATCTGAGGTTACTTTCTTAGCCATAAATTATTCCAGGAATCTTCCTCAGGGGGTAGGGGTATATACTAGTCATACAAGAAAACGTGAATTTTCGAATACTTACATTTTATGGAAAATAATTGTTTCTTTCTAAGGAAAACGTAGTAAACTCCAAGAACGATAACTTTTTGCTTATATAACCAACTTCGTATCATTTACCGGTCGCATAGTTTTTCGTACACCCTGTATATTTGCGTACGAAAACCCTCACATTAGCGTTGTCGGTAAGTGTCCCGCGTGTATACCAAAATTAGTTGTTCTAGGTTGAGCCGTTATTGAGCTAAACAGACAGACAGACCCACGGAATTGAGAAAACATGATTTTTGTAATCTAGGGACCTGAAAACGTATGAATGTGAAAAAATATCGAGGTCAATTTTTTACGTGAATATAATAATTTCCCTATTACCCAGGAAGGTAAAAAGGATGGGATGATTTGCTGAGGGAAGTCATGGGTGGCTTTTACAGAAAATAAAATATTACCAATTCCACCATTATCCAAACTATATTTGAGGTATTTTCTTAGATAAGTTGTCGTACACTCTTTTTTTTTAATTTTTTTTTTAAGGCTACATTGAATAGGTAATTAGGTAGGTACCTATTCAGTATTCGTTATGTAGATATCAATCTGTTGAAAAAAATTGCCTTCTTTTGGGAGAAATGAAATAGTCCTAATTTAGGTCTGGGATCGGGTCTGGGTATAAATTCAAACAAATTTAAATAAATTTTCACCATACTGTGATTGTATTCAAAGTGAGGATGAATAAAATATCGTATGCTAACACAGAGTCCACGTGACTTAGCCGTGTGATTTTATTTTCGCTTGACTATTTTTCAAAAGAATATATTCAATTAATGAATTTTATGTTAATTTTTGTGATGAGTCACCTATCTGCACTTCAAAATTTACTCACGTTTTCAAAGCGCTTTGAACCTAATTAATATCAGGCGAATAACATAATATCGCTTTACTGCGTCGTCAAAGCTATGAGAAGATAACCCTCATCTGTTGAGTTTTATTATGGGTGGGTTATAACAAGGAACGATTCAGTTTGTTGGGTGATTCATGCATTCATTCAAACTTACCCCTATTTTGGAGTATGAATCATTTGAACACACCTCTGATTTCCATGGCTATTTAAGCCAGCATTTTATTTAAATTTAGTAGAGGGGGATCATATTTATGCGATATGATTGAATATTTTCCGCAAACTATTAGCTAATTCTACTACTAATACTAGGAAGTTTTTAATATCTACCTTTATTAAAGGATTCCACGAATAACACTTATTGTTAATTATATTCTGATTAATTGGCCTCTGATTATTTCGTATTTTCAACTGGCTGACTAACCCCTCTGATTATTGTTTGTTGATATATTCAGTTCAGTTTTTGGTAATGATGAGTTATACATTATACCTACATAAAAATACACTTACATTACGAGTTTGTCCCAAAAATTAAATGTTTTGTAGATATAGGAGATCTTATGTTACTATCTATCTCATATCATTTTAGTGACCAATTTGACCTCTACCTTTGCATATTTCTTAATAATACTTACCTGTATCTAAATTTACCTAGAATATGTGTGTAACTTATTTATGAGGTCAGTGCTCGGGTCAGTGTTTATGCCTTCAACAAGAAATGGATATTTAAAGCAGTACACAATATACACTTGAATAATTATATTTTTTATGTGAAAGTCAGGCACGTTCATACAATTATGAGTCAGAATTTATGTCCATCTTGTTCAAATACCAAGCGTTTTTTTTATTCCAATATTTAACAATAATTTTGAATGGCTATGTGTCATTTTTGGCTTCATATATTTATATATATTTTTTTATGACACTATATAAGTACCTACTGCAACTCGTTCACAATTTACAAATCTTCCCTTTTTTGTTTTGGCTTTTATGAGTTTATTTCCAAGTTATCGTCAGTGACTCATAGCGCTACCATATAAAATTAATGACTAAGGACCGGTTTATTCATCTTCAGATAAACTTGCTGGTAGCTATTTGCAAGATAAGTGTACCGGTCTATAATCCTATCGGTCGGCGGATAACTGGTCGACCAATGGGATTACAGATTGCGTTTTTATACGCCAGATTGCATTGCCTGACAGTTTATCAGAAAATTAATAAACCGGCCCTAAATGTAGTTTGTTTCAAGATGAGACCCATCAGAATTATTACACTTGCCTCTTCACAAAACCTACAATTACCTGTTGTCATTGTATCAATCAGTAGCAAAGGTATTGAGATACTATGATGTATTCCTATCATTATTCCTTATCACTGATATATTCAAATTGGAAAAAATTATTATCAGTCATTAAAAAGAAACTAATGAATGTTCAGTGCCCATATTTCATCAAATTTGTAACTTGATGAATAGGAATTAAGAAGATGGAGACTATAAAAAATCTTAAGCGATTTAAACCGATAAATCAATACAATTTTTCTTTGCCTCTGATTCGAATTTGGAAAAAAAAAGTTTTTTAAGACTGACAAAGAGCCAACCCCTTAATCGTTTTGAAAGTTATTGGATGTTTCATTGGCATAACAAACTTCACCAGATCTATTTTTCTTCACTTTTCTTTCCAGAGATGTTATTTCAATTCTTATGTTCTTGATGGTTATATACACATTTACATTTATCCCTGTACACATATAATTATCAGTGTATTTTTTAACAATAATAATTATTGTTTGGTAAGTTTATTAATGTGCCCTTTATTTTCAGGAAATCATCACCGAGAATTCCACAGGAAACACAAAGATCTATGCGAACATACTTTATCACAGGCTCTCACTCCTAGAGGCATTTCGCCCTCAGCTTCTTGCCCGACTGTAGCCGACGTAGATTCATTCCCCGCATCTAAAGTATTGCCTTTTTTATATCTTGGTAACAGCAAGGTAAGAACTTTTATCATAAACATAGGCCAAAATAACTGATTCATAAAAAACACACACTCATAAAATGGTTTCAGATCAGCTAATGAATCATTTTTTCGTATTTTTTGTTTTTGCAGGATGCAGCCGACCTTTCTTGTCTACAAGGACTTGGTACCACCTGCGTGTTAAACGTGACGTCACAACTGCCTGGGTACCACGAAGAATGCGGTATTACATACAAACAAATACCCGCTACAGACTCGGGCCACCAGAACCTTAAGCAGTATTTTGAAGAGGCCTTCGAGTTCATCGGTAAGTTTTAGAATGTTTCAATAGCTGCTTTATAGATGTAGGCATTATCTATACCTACTGGTTTTTTGAAAGCGTGGATCATGGGAAAATATATATTTTTCGAACATTTTCCAGCATAAAATATACAAAAGTTATGATTATATGTTTTTATCAGAGGATGTAAAATAGAGTAAAGTGGTACATATCTGATCTATACACCAGGCCACGCTTACAAACATTTTTCCATCATTACTGGTATGTTCCAAGGGGAATTCAAACTCTTTCTCTCACACCTATAAAGATAAGTGTTTTTCTTCATCAACCATCTAAGGCTTATCTCACAGATCGCAATAATTGGATAGAGAATCCCTCTGATCCCACTTTTCCACTCCATGCAGGATCGAATAAATATTAAGATTCCTCTAGCAGTTTGAAGCTCAATGTCCAATATAAATACTTCTGAATATTTCATTTGTTTACTACAATTGCTCCATCTTGTATTTTTCGGTTAAAAAATATAACTAAGAAACTCCAAAGGGGTTATCGTAATTTAACTACAAGTATTTTCAGAGATCGCTTTCTCTAGAACCTGTATCTTATCGTACTTTCTTTCGCTTAATAAATAATAAGCTTATTAGGTATAATCTTCAATCAGATTAACTTTGTTTATAAAACCCATGGGAAAATTAAGACAATGCTTCACTCTCCCTCTCTTATCCAAAAGCATTTTCTAAAAAATTTCCAACGCAAGTTGAATTTTCTAATAAAACAATAGATTTTCGTGTCTCCATAATCAATCCTATTGGAAAATATATACATATTCATAAATATTTGGTTGGTTATATTATTTTATCTAATATTGATTTTGAAATAATTACTTTCTGGAGGCTCCATTCTGCTATTTTTAACTCTGCGATAACAAAATATCCACGTTTTATTGCTGTAAAATTGATATCAAGAAAATTTCACAAAAATATGCACGTTTTATTGCTGTAAAATTGATATCAAGAAAATTTCACAACTACTGATGGATGAAACTGTTAATGCGTTGATTTCTTAGAACAATAACAAATATAATGATAATTCCCTTCTTTTATAATGGTTTGTTTATGCTATAAGCAATCTTGATTTAAAGTTCAATAATATCACTATTATTACTTTGCTTTCACTGACTTGTTTGAAAAAATGTCTTTGTAATGAATGTCACCATGCAACCCGATTTTAAATGGCATTTATTAATATGTACAGGGTTTTCCATTATATTTGGACCTCCCTCGCCTTCAACTTTTTATGTATAAAGGGTTGAAAAAAGTTATATGCAAAAGTTGTAAGGTTTAATTTTAGTTTTTCAAACTAACTAGGAAAAAACAATTAGGTATTACTTTCATAGGTCACGTGATATAATATAGCTGGAAGAAGCGTTTGATGTAAATGATGGAACACTCTACATATTTTCCAATTTTCTTGTAGAACTTAAAAATTCAAATATATAGAGTTTGCCAGGTCTAACTGTCATATTTTTGAATTATGGGATATGTTGGGTTTTGATCCGTCATTATCATATTTTTTATATGGCCAGTTAGATATTTGGTTTGGTATAACGGCGGGATTATTCCATAACCCCCAGGAAGAGTAACACCGTTGGATGAATTTTTGTTGGTTTATTTGAAGAACATATCAAATAACAATTTCAATTATTATTCAGCTGTGGGTGCACGAAATCGATCGAAATTCACTCACAAAATTATGGGACTCGATATTTTGATTGTTTTGTGATCGAGTTTCGTGCTCCCACAGCAGATTTTCATAAATGAAATCCAAGAAGACATTCAGAGATTGAACCAGGACAACAATAACACTGTTTCTAACTTCATACAACATTTATGAAAAAATTGTAAAGTGTGAATATATAAGGTCATTTTGAACAATAATTATGTTCCTCGAATTGAATGTTTATTTAATTATTTGAAGAACACTGGTCAATGCTTGAAACAGTTATGCTGTCAACCTGCAGAGAATCAACGGGTTTTATCACTAGATTGGTTTGATGGGAACAATAAAGAAATTCAGAATATCATAGATCAGAAAAAGAAGTGAAAACCTATAATGTTTTGTAAAAGAACTCAAACTCAACTATCAACAAACCTCTCTACAAAGAAGGACAAAAATGCTGAAACACGAATGGTGTGCAACAAAGTCAATTAAATTGGAACATTTAGTATCCCCTAACAAAGCCAGAGCCTTCATCAGCGAGGGCTACAAAAGCAACCCATGGCGCCGCCTTCTCAAAAAGTCCAATTCCCCTTGATCTTGATATGGGACCTCTCAAAGATCCAGCTTCTATTAGCACCAGATGAATGGGGCATTTCATGGACTGCTAAACAGAGAGTCCTAAGTGGAATATGAAGTCTTCAACAAAGTTTCTCAAAAATCTATTAACAACTATCTGAGTTACGTTACTTCCCATCAAAGGGTTGAAAAAGCTATTAACCAATTGAAGAATACTAGAGCTGCTGGGTTAGACGGATTCCCTGCTCTCAGGAAAGTTCTTGCAGGATCCTCTTCTTTTTGGCTGAAACAACGCTATCCGAAACACAATGTGGCTTTAGACCAAATTGACCTACAGTGGATATGATCTTCAGTGCAGGACAAATCGAAACAGCCCCGTATTTATAGACCTTATTGTCAATTGTATGCGAGGACGGGAAGTATACTCACATACGGCTGTTGTCAAGCATGGACATTCACGAAGGAAAATATCGAAGGATAGCTACAACACAAAGAGCCATGGAAAGACAAATGCTGAACATGAAGCAGATCTGAAGTTGGATCCCTGATAAAACAAAAGTTAAAGATGCCCCCGCACAGGCAGCAAAACTGAAATGGAAATTAGCTGGACAGACCTACCTTAAGACAAAAGGTTGACAGATGGAATACAGAGGGAGGAAGACTACAAATGCGATGGTCAGATGTTCTCAAGAAACACGCTGAGCCAAGATGGATGTAGATCGCCCACGATAGAGACTCATGGAGGAATGAAGGAAGGGCCTACGTCTAGAAAGAGGTGGAGCCCGAGGCGGATTAGATAGATAGATTCTCGATCGAGGAGCTCTTTGGATAAATTCAGGAGCTCTTTGGCTAAATTTAGCAACATCCTTCGTTTACTACAAAAAAACATGGATGCCACCAACAACAGACACGGAGACAAACAAAGGGAAAGACCTTCAAAATATTTTAAATGCATTTGAGAAAGCATAACACTGATAAGACAATAATGCTATTCCAGCTTGCCACAGATGACATAAAAATTCTCCAGGTCCAGCTGTAATTATCAATGAAGCACCTCTATAAGATATTGAATACCACAATTGATAAATTGACGCAGAAATTCAAGACCTACTATCGTGCGCCAGCGCAGCATTTGGACGTCTCTTAAAAAGATTATTCGACAACCACTACATAAGTATTGAAACGAAGCTCTTGGTCTACAATTATTCCATCGTCAACACGTCTCGACAGATGTGTTTTCAAAATATGTAATGTCTAATACTTTTATGTGGTATAAGCAGTGTTTTTATTCAATGATCACTTTCATGAAGGTCACCATCGATCCAGATTATTTTCGATTCCAATACTTTATGGTCCAATAATATCAAAAAATATAATTGTTAGAGCTAATAATTGGAAAACCTTAAATATTTGAATGAACCCTAGCAGTTGAAAAACTATTAAAAAAATAAATAAATAGGGTGTTCTATTAAAAAAAAATCATACAGGGTCAATTATTTACTGAAGGGATTATGTAAACCAATAGGAGAAAAAGCTGCTATTCCTTTATTATTATTAAAATGAAAATGCATGTTTCATTAATTTGTGAATCATATTTTTTTTTGACCTAGTGATTCAGGCCCTATACAGTATTTTTTTTTGCTGAACTGTATACTGAAATATTGTGTAGTGCCATTAGGATTTAAACGATGTTATGGCGTTCTGCATATTACTTTTCCGAGAAGCATAGGATTTCAACGGTGTTATGGCGTTGTGCATATAATATTACTTTTCCAGGAAACATTAAGGTTTTACGCCGTACCAGCACGTTTGGACCACACAAAAGGCTGTTTGTCAACCGATCATTTTTAGTTTAACACATACCGAGCAAATAATGGTAGACTTCTGTAGTCTTTTTTCTATATGGATAGAGGCTTGTGTTTGGCTTCTGTATCAGTTTGTTCATTTGCCTATTTGTCTGTTCTCCTATAACTCAAAAACAAAAAATAACTTCGCCAATTTTGTCAAATGAGCTCTCATTTTATTGGGTAGGTAGGTAATATAATATTCTAATAGTGTCAAAGTCTACATAGAGTTTTGAAAAGAGAAAATTAATTTACTCGCAACTAGGTATTTTATGCCGGTTTTCCACTAAACAGACTGTTGAGTTTGTGTTTTAAAACACGTTTTAAAGCAAAAACAAAACTGAAGTAAACACAAAACTCGTATTTCCATAAAGCGGACTACGTTATGTTTTCTCGGCGAAACAAAACTCCAACTGTCTCAAAACATGCTAGTCTTGAAAATGTTTGGGTTTTGTTTCTGTTTTGTCTGTTTGGTGGAAAACCGGCATTACAATGCTAGTAATTCAATTCTGCGCATGCGTTCATTCGAAAAAGGCACTTGCGCGATTTTTTTAGTCAGGCGTCGTTTTAGTCTGTACTTACTTTTAGACTGAGAGTATGTAGTACATTTTAGAACACCGGTAGGTTGACAGCCTTCTCAAATTTTTGATACACTTTTCTACGATAATAACTAATGAATACAGCCGCTCTGTTCATTCAATTAACATTAAACTGTCCATTGTCATTATCACAAGTTTGTACAATTTTATGTGATCTAGTGCAATTTATCCGAACCTGAAAGTACATAATTTTTAAGCCAACCGTGGACAACATCAAAGTATGACGGCGGTTTCCCATTGCACTGTATCCGTGCGTCTTACTTTCCCATTACCCACATTTAAATCTAAA